TACAAAATATATTAACAATTTTTCAATTAACAGTTTCATAATATTTTTGTTCAGTTAATTAGCAATTGAAATTGGAAGCTATGCTATTTGAATTTAATTTTTTATAGTTTTTGAACATTTGTGCGTACATTACAAGTAGCATAGAAAACTCGTGAAGTCGTTTAATTTTAAATTTTAGCGCCTAAAACCAACCAGCACAGCTATATACTTATTTATGTAAATACACTAAATTTTTAAGATTTTCATCTGAAATTTCATTTAATATATACTTATGCGCAAATTCAATGATTAGGGTTTTAAGTTGATAAATATAATAAATAAAATTCTAGCTTGCATTTGGTCAAATCTTTATTTTACAGATTGGCAGTACTGATCTCAGAATCACCCAGAATTGACAAGAAAGAAGAACAAACAAGGAAGCAACAAGAAGGAACCTGTTGTGCACAGAAGGCAGTGGAATGAAGACACGCCGTGAATGTGAATGCCATAATGAACACCAAAACAAACCATGAATATACTTCTAATTCGTACAATGGAGGTATTCGTTTATTTGTTTTAAATAACAGAAATTTTCGTTTTTTTAACAAACTAGAATTACTAAAAAATACAGATTTTTAAAGATGTTAGCAAGGCGAATTGAAAAGCTGTCTGCTGGGCGTCCTTATGGCGTCTGCTAGAATGACGCTTAGAAAATAAGAATTTTTATTCTACATTGGGAACAAATAAAAATTTATCGTTCTTTTAAACATGTTTATTTGTCTCTTATATGTTAAGAGTCAATCAATTTCTTTATTATATTTATAAAACCAAAAATATATATATGTTTCGTAAACCGACTGTCATATGTCATGATGTCAGCAGAGGATGAACATACTTATTATTGTTGTAAGATCAGTAACATTGAATGCAAAAAAATATGCATTCAGATGCATAACTTGTATTTTTTACTACCAAAATGTTAAAAATTATGTATTTAGCATTCAAAATTTGTGTATAATGATATTTTTAAGGAATGCCTATTTCATATATATTTCATATATATATATATATATTTGTAGTAAACATTGAGTATAATTTTTCTTTATGGAAGAATGAATAAGTGAATATATAATATACCTTTCTGCATAATCTATACCTTTGCATTCGTATGCATTTTTTCAATTGTTAATCATTTCACATTTCATGATCACACATTTGTTTCAGGTATTATGGGAAATGATAGTCCTGCTGCTTTATTAGATATGCTGGCAGAAGTTGCATCTCAGACACTACACTCAGAAAAAACACATAATAAATCATTATTAGCGACACAATGCAAATCAAAAACAGATTATATAAAGAGGAAATCACAAGAAATATATTTTGGTGTACCTCAACTGTTGTCTATGCCTGCATCACAATTAGTTAAACAGTTTTCCATTTTTACAAGTGATGAATTAAAAAGACAATATTCTTATACTTGTGCCTTGGTTGTCGGATGTGGTCAGAAGTACACTAGTTTTGCAAGTGAAGGAAGAGCAAGAATGTCTATTAAAGCACATTTGGCAGAACACTTGGAATATTTAAAAGCAAATAAAGAAACCTGTGAGTAAGCGTTATATGTAAGCATAAATATTTATATGTACAAATATAGAAATTATATATGCTTTTCTTACATTTATAGATAAAACTTTTACTGCAAAGTCTGTAAATTATAAAAATAATAAAACAAATTCTCAAAATAAAAAGAATAGACTACAATCATCAAGAAAACCACAAGAAACATTGAACAAGGAGAACAAAAATGTTATCGAAAAATCAACGAATTATCTTCGAAACATTCTATTAAATGATTCTAGCTTTAAAGAATTAGATAAAAATAAAAGTTTTGAGAAATTGGATAAATCTAAAAAACTACATAGCACAGAACAAAACGATGTAGATAAAACGGATTTTAAAGTTTTCGGAGACCACAGTTATTTTGAACGTTTGAAGGATGAAAATCCTAATGGGAAGGAATTATGTCTTAATAATGTCCTAGAAAATGCAGAAATGGATGAAAATGTAAGCATAAATTGTATCTTACTATATAATTTGTAAATACTAAAAAGAACTTCTGTCTGTAGATTGTACTTATGGTTGTTGGTGCTGATACTATTCATATGAAAGAGTATTCACACATCAATCAAAAGCTGTCAGAGAAAATTAGTCAGGAAACAGACACCATCTATTTACCTGGTAAGTGTAATTTATAATTTTGCACAATTGCAAAAGTTTTTACATATGATTTTATTTATTTTCAGAAATATCATGGTCAACTGAAGGCTGCAATAAAAATGTAGAAATTACAACAACCAAACCTAAGGGCAAAGCAAAATTTATAGGTACCAGCAAAGAAGAGCGAGAAATGGCGTTAGCTTTCATGGATCGCATCAAGAAAAAGGGAAACCCAACTGGAAGCAATCTTGAATGTCGAATTTGTAATCCACCAAGAAGTTTTACAGCACCAACGACTTTAGTATCTCATTACCGAAGTCATGCTGGGATAAAACCATATGAATGTCGTATATGCAGAGCAGTTTTTACAAGAAGACACAGCTTAAAATATCATATGCTAATTCATCAAAATCAAACACGATTTACGTGTGCTGATTGCGGCAAAAAATTTAGACATCCGTCGCATTTTAGGGAACATCGCCGCCGACACACTGGAGAAGCACCATTTGGATGTGACGATTGTGGGCAAAGGTAAATTTGTCAGCAACATTTATAGATACAAATAAATGTCATAATACTACTAAAAATATTTTTTCATCATACAGGTTTAAGACCAGAAATACTTATAAACGTCATTTAAAAACGAGACATGGTAAAGTCTTAACAACTACTGGAGAATTGTTATATCTCTCTGAAGAAGACTTTCAAAAAGTACGGACTAATAGGAAGAAGAAGAATGACGTAATTAAAGAACGTGTGGTAGATGAGGCCATAACTGCAGCAAAAACATTAATGAATTATCAAAGCGATGACAACCATTTTCAAAATACTACTGAAAGATATATTATTAATGATAATAATAAAAATTGGGAGACAAATGATGCAATAAAAATTATCAAGAATTGTTTTGACACTTACGAGATTTGTTCAGAATCTCAATTAAATAAGACTGATTCTATAGAGACTGAAATACCTATAGATAATAGAGTTTCTACTAAAGCTGAGGATATATTACCGATGGAATACACAGATAAAGTACAAGAGAATTTGCCACAATTACAAAATGTTTCTTACAATAAGTTAGAAGTAATTAAAGACGACAAATCTGAATCAATTTATCACAACATTAACGAGCCACCATCATACATTAAAATACAATATAATACTTCGATTAATGATGAAAATGAAAATAATACCGAATTTCAAGAAAATTTTGAATTTTTGGGGAAACAATTTAAAAACCGTATTCAAATAGCAGAGCATAACGAAGAACAATTTTGCAATGATCCATTGAATGAAACTATAAATGAACATTGCAACAGGCATATAATTCTTACTGAAGAACAT